GTGATTCTTGTGGCATTTAAGTTTGGCATATGGATCTAATTGCGATGGGTGCTGCCAAATTAATGCAAAAGCCACATCTTGCTGAGGAAACAGTTCACCATTTAAACTTTAGATTGATTTGTCTATTAAATGGAGGAAAACTGTTTGAAATTCAGAGAGGAGGACGTTGCAGTTGCAACATTGTGTTTAGTAGTTTGAGTCAATCAGCAGATCTTTTACATTCCAGTTAACAGTGTTGCATTTTATCGGAGGGCACATTTCTGTTGTGTAACTTTGAGTTGCTTTTTTAGCTTTTTAGACATCAGTGTAAAAACAAAATAACTTGAAGGTCAAAAATCTTGTTTATCTAAAAATGTACAAGATCATAAATAGATCTAAATACTTTTCCTTTTCCTTAGTGTACTTGTTATATGTTGATTAACATTTGTTGAAGAAGTTTGAGCTTTTGAGATCATCATGAACTGTATGTGAGGGAGTTCTGCTGAGGACGCTCTGGGGAGAAAGACGGGGCAGCTTGTTTCTGTGACGTTTATAGCCTTGGAAGCCCGATCTGGCGGGTGGGGCGGGGAAAGTTTTATTCTGCCCTCTATGGCCACTTTGAGTTGGAATCAATGCCATGGCAGTGGGTTTTATTTTTTTGTTCAATTATATAGTTACTCTTTATAAATTAATGGAAAAATGTATTAAAGTTGTGCTTAAAAGAAAACAACAAACATATTCTGGTTATTTTGGTTTACTCAAGAAGTGAATATCATATTTGAAGCGAGGAGTGGAATTAGTGAGAGCTTTCTGAATTGTGAAAGATTTTTGCCCTGAGCAGTGTTCAAGAATAAAAATGTTGGCATTAGTACGCTTTCAAATACTTTGGTGTTTATGTAATGCGAGCAGTTTTCATCCTTTAATAATGTGTATGGCATACTACCCTGAGGGTTTTTATTTATCTATTGTACTTCAGATAAAATCTTGCCCGGTAACGTGGGTCAGAATCTTAAGTAAAAAGATGGTTTTGGATAGAAGGTCCTAATAGGAGACTCTATATTAGGCAGTTATGTTGGCTGTTATGCTGTGCCAGTTTTGGCTACTTTGCTTGCTTTACCTCCCACCTGTAGGACAGATAAACTCTTAATAGTGGACAGCTTGTACGTGGAAAATCTTATGGGCACAGGATGAGATGAAATATATTTTTATCTCAGAAATGGCAAAGTAGAATTATAAAGTAATTTTATCATGAACCAAATATCAGGAATTCCTCACTGTGGTTTCTGAGTCTTACATTCAATGCAATAGCAACGTATGGTAAAGAAGGTGCCAGGCAACGTTCTAGAGATTCTCTCACTCTCTCATTTAATCTTAAAAGTACCTTGTGAGGTTGGAATTATTATCTGCATTTTTTTCAGATGTTTCTTAAAAAGTCCCAAGCTGGATATTTTGAGAAGTTAATAATTGACATCTCCAGTGTTACAAATGTTTACAAGTGGATCTGGAAATGAATTCACCCATTTACTGTCTTTCAAGCTCATGACTATAATTGTATTAATAAAACTTGACTAAGTTTGTTTGTGGTGTTTTCTGTAACACAGAAATTTAAGCATTAGCTCTTTAAACCTCCCCATTCCATTGTTCTAAAATATTTTTCTATCATTTGCTAGTAATAGTCTTATTTTCTTCTTAATAGAAGTCACTTTACCTAACAGTTCATACCCACCCCCCACAAGCCATCATTTCCCCCTGATTTAAAATTCCCCATGTGCCATGGATTTTTTTCTGGATGCTATGCTTTCCCATTAATGTGTATGTGTGTGTGTGTGTGTGTGTGTGTGTGTGTGTGTCTAGGCCATTGTAATATCCCTAGTTATTTTAGTTAAAATAAAAATCTTTTATAGTCTGTTGTGTATTAGAGGGACAAATTTCCCTTGTAAGGAGCACTTGTGGCATAATGGGTTCTGTTGGGCTGCTGACCTTAGCAGTTCAAAACCACTAGCCTCTCCAAGGGAGAATGATGAGGCTTTTCTGTCCGTGTGATGATTTAAAGCTTTGGA